AAAAGGTTGGGGACCACTGTCATATACAGAATGAGGGGGGCGTAAAGCTGGCGTAAAACTCTTGCACTGAAGTGTAGGGGCTCCAGATAATGCAGGAGTCGGGAGCCTGCTAGCCTGGGAGTCAGACACACTGTCTTCTAGCAGATAATACTAGTTTGAAGCATTTATGCAAGAGGAGCAGCAGACCAGAAGAAAGTTCAAGTATTGATTGACAGCAGTGAGCTCCCACCCTTGACTTTGACCTTCTCTGCTTGGTTAGAAGAATTAGGTTTTTGCTGTAAATGTTTCTGTGCATGAATGTTATTAGGAATGCTGTTATTGTAATGAACATCCTTTTTGTTTGTGTGGAACTTTTAAGTGTCGCATTATGCTACAGTATAAATTGTCCAGTTAAAGATGGAAAACATACTTTACAGAGTTAGTTTGTCGCTGAGGTGTTTTTATTTTGAGCTCTCCTCCACCTCCCCTGGCAGGTGGACTGCCTGGTGCTGCAGCTGCATCGCATCGGAGAGCAGCTGGAGAAGATGAACAGCCAGGGGATGGACGAGCTGTTCTTCCTGCTGCGGGATGGCTTCCTGCTCCAAGAGGGCCTTACCTCCATGACTCGTCTGCTGCTGCTGGAGATCCTGGAGTTCAGGGCCGGAGGATGGATGCTCAGCAGCACCGCCCACAAGTACTACTACAGTGAAATTGCAGACTAGGTCGGTCTAAAGATAAGAGTGCTGAGCAGCTGGATTACAGCTGAGGTAGGGCGCCTGTTTGTCACCAGCAGTTTCATGATGAACAGCGACATCTTACAGATAATTATTGGAGGGTTTTGTGAAGATGGTTCATAATCTGTAAAAAGACTGCTAGAGGGGCTAAAGATGTTTTTTTTCTGACATTCCAGTTTTTAGAGTTCCATCTTATTTTTACCAAATCTAAAGGGACTGGAACTATTCCAGTCAGATGCAAGGTGATTTGGTCTTTGCTTTTCCTTCATTTTTGTGACCAATTTTTTTAATGAGTTAAAAAAAAATAAGATTTTAGTATGTTTAAATATTTGTGTAGAATTGATATATTTTCAAAATATTTTAACTGCAGTTCTGAGGAATGTTCTGGATAATTTTTCTTGTTGGATTCCCATGTTACTGATTTTCTTTATCGCTTGTTATGTGAGACCAATTTGTCAGAGGAACGTTGTGGCTTAATTCAGGGATTTTCTGTTCTTTTTTGGCTCGGGGCTACATTTAGAAATAAAAGCCCTGCTGGGTTACAGTTAACATCCAAATTGTTTCTACAGATAAATCGGTCAGATATTGAATTATTTGGATTCACTGGTTTCATTTGTTAAGCAGGTCATGCTAATGTAACATGCAGCACATCAGGCTGACTTAATAAAACCTAAACTCTTCATTTGTAGTCACAGTGCTAGAGGAGACACTGTTTTCCCTCCCTTGATGTGATGATGCACAGGTCATCTGAGTAGAAAAGTAGGATGAAAGTATTTTGGATTTGATGCGAGTCTGCACTAGCACTAGCTATGTAGCTCTGTGTAACTCCAATACCTTTGATTGCTCTGTGATGGCTCTGAAGTCTTCAACCAAAGCTGTGCCTTGAAAAGAGATGGACTAAAGATTTGTTGTGAATATTACTTTTTTTTTTTTTTTTTTTTTAATGTCATGTCTTAAAACATGTACCTGTAAAAAGTAAATAGGCTAAATATTAATTTTACTTTGGCAGCCAAATCAACCAAATCAACATCCTTGTGATTTCAGAAAATCGTCAATGTACAAAATGATTTACTTTAAAGCTTTTTAAAGCTATGAGACACATTCATTACGCTGAATCCTTGGCAAGATTTTAGAAAAAATGTATTTCCCACTATCCTTATTTCTAGTGTGAGGATTCTTATAAACTTTGGTATTTGTTACTACAGTCAGACCAAGTTGAAACAAATTTAGGACAAATAGATGAAATAATCTGGCTGATATTAAGGACTTTGTGCAATATTCCTTTATGACAGGGTACACACCTGACCTGACTGCAATATGTTTATATTTTATTACAGCATTGCAACAGTTTTACATCATTTATTTTTATGGTTGTGCATTTCTTACATATTTGTTCTAATAAATTGAGTTCTTTTCTTAATTCAGTTTGTCAATTAGCGATACACTTAAGCACAACAGTTTATTAGACTTGGTGCATTTTCGACAGAGTGAGCCACGGTCAAAGCTGCTTTATACGAATTTCACTTGTCCAACAGCACTTTTTACAGCATAGTCCTTCCACCAGATATCTTGATGATGTTCACTAAAGCGGTACACTGCAACAGAATATGTGGCTGAATCTTCCATGACTCTTTGGAGCCAATACATCAGTCCAGTCCATCCATCCATCTGACAGCTTTTTTTATTTTTTTTATTTAAGTCTTTCTACCACCAGCGGTAGTGGGCATAGGCTCTGTTGGCTTCAGCCATCTTGTGCAGCTCATATTTCTTCTTGATAACATTGCCCTCATTGTTAAAGGCCGCCAGCAGTTCCTGGGAAAGTCTTTCAGGCATGTGTGTCTGTGGTTGTCTGTTGTCCCTGCACTCCATGATCATCCATTTCATGGCGAAGAAGCGGCGGCGGTTGTCCGTCAAAGGGACAGGCACCTGGGAGAATACAGTTCTGTGTTATTACCACAAGATCAAACTTCATGATGCGTTTAGTGTGTGCAGTTTCATGAAAAATGTTTCTGTAACTGATCTGCCTCATCGCTGACCTGATAGAATTTTGCACCCTTCTGTATGCTGGACAGCCCAACGACAGGCTTACAGTTCTCCAAAGCCTGGTGAAAGATGGTGTAGGGGTTACATTCGATCTCCTCCTTCTGCCCCTCTGGAGCTTTGTGGTATTTCTCCACCTGTTTCATCTTTATGTTCTCCAGGGTCTGGGAAAGCAGAAATAGTAGCAGTTAATACAGTATATTATTAGACCAAGAGCAACTGTGACTGTGAACAGTGTTTACAAAAGTCTGTATGTTCTTACTTTTGCCATGATCTCTCTGGCCAAAACCTTGTTTCCATGTTTCATCATCATGTTGATGAATTTGCTGGAAAACAAAGATAAAAGGGTCAGTACAGCTTTGAGTAAACCAGTCCCATAAGTGATGCCTTCCTGCAGTGACATTTGTTCTACCTGACGACCGGATCACTGAAAATGGAGCTGGTGACATTACTGGTTGCTGCCTTGATGGGTCTGAGCGTTTTGAGCTCCTGCTGCTGCTTCTCCTCTTGGGTCAGCTCCGTCTCTGGTCTACTGTAGGTCTCCTTTGTGACCTCTGGCTCCAGATAGTATGGGTTGTACCTACTCCATCTGACCAGGAAGACCCTGCAAACAACAATGAGTTTCAGGAATGACTTGAGTCTGTGTGTTTGTCATATTGAGCATATTCTGCCCTGATTTGATTAATTTATAATTAATTGTATCAAACAGGATAAAATGTAACTTTGATTTGTTTTAAAGCAAAACTACCAAAGACCCACTGGCCCAGACTTCGTAAATGTGGGAAGTTGGTTGGTAATTTGGAGAAATTATGACTGGCAATTTTCACTGTTTGAGATTGTATTTAGTAATCTAGATTAATCAATTAATGGAGAGAATAACCAGAGTTTCATTAATACTGAAAGTAATTGTTTGCTGCATCTCTTTTATATATTAACTTTTATGATGGGCCAAGTATAAATGCCAACTATATCTATTAAGCAAAAACACAAAACATTTCATGGTTCCAGAGTTCCTCTACTTTATATCGCTTGCAAAACAGAGTATACTTTTGCTTAAAATTGGCCAAAATACTGCAAGGACACACTAGATGAATACAGAGTGATGCAGAATGCTCAAAGCTACCAATACATAAACAATCACGGTCACATAACTGCTACAAAGCCACGCTCAAATTAATTGAACGATTAATAAAGGGTAACGGAAAAAAAGAGTAGTTTGCTTAATTAACATATTTTAATCTGTTGACGTGATCCGATTGTTTTATAGAGTAAACTATTATTTGGTCGACAATTAAGGCTATGATAGTGGATGAATACTGGCAATTCAAGTGTTTTGCAGCAGAGGCTGAAAAGACGTTTTAACGTTATCTAGAGCTACTTTACCTTGTAGCGTTATGTTACATTCGTGTGTAAATTCTGAAGGGTAGGAAAAAACGACCATAACACAGGAATATTAGACAGCCAACACCACTGTTAATTAAAATGTTTAAGTTATGATTACCTTGGTATCCAAGGTTTTAGTAGTCCTGAGATGGAGACCGCCATCTTGACAATGTGAGTGTCAGTTAGGACCCCAGGTTAGTAGGTCCTGCAGATGCCTTAGCTTAAAAAGTGATGTCACATGCTGGTGAAATCAACGCTGTTTTATAGTGCGATTGTGTACCAATAAGGGGAATCGCTTGAATCTTGGTTCTATGAGCATCAATCCCATTTTATTAATTAAATAATATGGACAGTTATGTTAGGTATTTTTTAGTCAGATAGATACTTGTTGTATTAGAAATGTCTTTAGTGTAGACGGGATGTCTAGCTCAGGCTGTTAAAAGCTTACTCATTTCCTTGAGTTACTCCAGGTTGTTTATGTTCCAGGATAACTAGATAGAAAGTGGCTACTGTATGATATGTTTAGCCGTAATCTTAATCATAATATCGTCCTAGGCTTAATGTCCGGACATGTCCCTGAATGTCCTGTATGTTCTTAGATACACACCACTTAATCAACACTCACACACATTGATTTTCTCCATGTTGACATATCAGGTGACGCCACGGGTTGACGTCCCTGTGTAGAATGGGGTTAGCCCAAACCAGATATAATGTACAGGCCTGTTGGGTTCGGGGTCTCTTCATCGTTCATCTGCCTGCGAGCAGTTTGGAGGTGAAGGATACCTGAGCGTGTAATGTTAATTTTACCTGTGATCCTTCAATAAACCAGCACGGTTTTTTTGTAGCCACTTGGACCACCTCGTCTCTCCGAGTTCAACTGGTAAAGCGTAACTGGGAAAATATCCTTCAGTACCAATAAGGGGAATCGCTTGAATCTTGGTTCTATGAGCATTAATCCCGTTTTATTAATTAAATAATATGGACAGTTAGCTAGATGCCTCCAGATGATAAAGCGGTGCGTCATGTGTGCAATGGCTGTCAGCGTGCTGATGGACCACTTTCAGATTTTTCACTACTGGTAGAGGTTGCCAGTGCATCATTAACTGGCAGGTTGAGTGGAGAGCTTTAATAAATAATCTGGGGCAAATTAATCGGCGGCAGCTCAGGGTGTGTAGTAGCTGTGTTCCATCTGGCCGAGTCAATGTGCCGCTTGTTACGCGGTAAAGTCGAAATGAACAGAGACCACGCCCATCCAGCGTGTTTCCATGGGTGAGTAATCTCCACATATCTTCATACGAATAAAAAGCATGCTGACTATATATCCCTCTGTTCAATCATCTTTTTCCCCCAGTACTTGTATTACTGCATATCTAAGACGGTGATGATGAAGATTGCAGAACTGCTGCTGAGTTGGATGATTGCTTTTCTCAGTGAAGTCAAGGTCAAAAAAACATAAAAGACACTACTTAGAAACACTTGAATGGTTCCTGAGTGGCTGTGTCCTGCCTATCTGCAGGTAAACTGTTGCATGTGATTGCCTACAATAAGAAAGGTGTTTGTGTGCTGCTCAACTTTAATCCCCCCCCAAAACAAAGTATTACAGAAATTCAGGTTTGAAAAAATGTTCATCATGAAAAGCTTTATTATCAAAGAGCAAATTTTGATTACATAAATTTTATATACAATACAAAAACACAAAAGAGCTTTCTTGTCAATTTCACGAGTCATGACTCCACTGTTCCCTCTTTGACTATAGCCATAGCCAGATTCCTGGCCAGAGCGAGTCTCAGGAGCTCCACTTTGGTCAGCTCTATGTCTTCGTCCTGAAATGACAACTACACTTAAATAAGAAGTGAAGTGGATTCTGTCTTTAATACTGTAACAACTACTTGTAACACAACTGTGGAGTAAAAGATGCTGATTGTGCAACGACAATCCTGAACAAATATTAAGCAAACCTTGAACAGCATCAGAGTAACACCATCATCTGAGCTGTATTAAGACTGTGTGAGGAGATCCATACCTGCATGGGCCTGTCTGTGCCAGGAGCTGTGCTGTTCACTGAGGAGGTGAGCTCCTCTAAACACAACATCAGCTCGTGGGTTTGGTCTGCAGAGAAGATCACCTAAAAATTCAACAAAGAGAGCCAGCTTTAATTCAGACTGTTTCTGGACCAACTTTTTTTCCAGGGACTGTAGTTCCTTTTACGTTTCCTCTTGTGCTCATGCTTCTAGTATCACCATTGATTACCAAATTAAGCCATGTATAGTATTTTTGTCTCTGATGCCAATTTTTTGAAAATATTTTGAATTACCTTGGTTATATAACTATTTGACTAAGTTCTTGTGACTATTGTAGCAATTTTGTCCATATCCAGAGTATACAGTACACTTCGTTGTGAATGACCTCTTTCTGCGCCAGCAGTGGCAGGGCATCAGTCAGCAGAGTCATCCAGAAGCTCCGGGGGGCGATCTTGGCCATCATGAGTGAGAGGAGCAGCTTTGCCGCCTCCCTGAAGCGATTCTCTCCGTACAACCTGTGGAACTCACGATACTTTCCTGCAATTGCAAAGGGTGCCAGGTTCTCAGAGTGCAACACTTGCAGCCCATATTTATAGTTTTTGATGCCTTACTTTAATAACAGTATAGCAGAGCAGTTTTATAGCTGAGCATTACCTCTTTTTTTTACAGCAATCAGTTGACAGAAACACTTTGATTCATAATATCAGTAAAATGTTTTAATATAGAGATCTATTTACAAACTAACTGTGTCTTCCTTACCAAGGAAAGTGAGCCTGTCGCTGAGCAGCATTGCTGGGCCCAAGTTGTCTATTAAGTCCAGATCTGAGAACATCCCTCTGGTGCAATAATCCTGCAGGAACCTGGCACGCGCGCGCACACACACACACACACACACACACACACACTTTTAAAACCAATTAAAAAGAAACAACCTCATAACAAAGTGCTTCACAGAGGCACAGGCAAGCTGTAATTTATCTGAGAGCTCAGACCTCAATGCTTGATTTGTTTTGAATTATTACTACCACCCCGTTACAGAATAACACATCCATCACAGTGATGAAGAAAAGGCTGACTCACTCTGACAGTTCAAATGCATTCATGGGAATGACTGAGAAGAGGGCTTTTTTTTTGTGCTGCAAATTTCTGACTGCCAGCCCAGCTCTACAGTGTCAAGACATATTAAGGGCTACCAATGCTTTGTGCATCTGCATGCCCGCTGTGGTTGAGTGATGTAATTTTCATCATCTTCCCATTCCACGTGGACTCTGTGCAGACATCCAGATGGCCCACACAGCAAAAGCTCCAGCTGCTCAATTTGAAGTATGATTAGGAATACATGTGTGTAGCCCTTTAAAGAATTAACCAGTCCACTATTAGATGAACTAACCTCTCTGAAATGAGTGTGGCAAACGCTGCATCTTTGGCTCTTATGCTCCAGGAGAGAGCCGAGCCCAGTCTGTTGTTCCTCAGTGCCCGCATAGCCATGATCTTACAGATACTCCGCACTGGGTGAGGACATGAAATTAAAGGTTTAAGTCTCTACTGCACTGGAAAAAACAGTATATATATCTTGGTATAACACAGGTGGATAGAGAATATGAATGGGACAAAGAAAAAAGGGACTACCTTGCTCTGACATTTGTCTCTGCTCACAGATCCTGAGCACCTTAAGGGCTTTGCGCTCTGTTTCTAAAGGGACACGTTCAATCTGCAGCTCCAGGCAGACACGGCCAAACTCTGGGCAGTGGTCAAAGTAGTCCACAGCCAACTGCCACAGGCTTAACACAAACACACACACACAAAAACTACTGTAATATCATTACGCTTCAGTGTAAGTGATTAAACAAAAATGTAAAATAATTCATACTTTGTGTAAATTTAAACCTTTAAAACATTCACTAATTAGCTGAATATCCATATCATACATGTAATTATCATACTGAACCTTTTACCTGTGATGAGTAAAGAGACCAGAGGCATATTCTAACAGGAGAAACTCTCTCAGATTTGATCCAAAGCTGAACAAATCAAAAAGATATGGTAAATGTTAGCAATCTTGTCATCAAATACTCTCATCTACAAATGCAGCTAAAGTCCTTACTGTAGATTGTGAGACTGGAGGAGTTGACAGTGATCCAAGAGATCTGTCAAATGGGCCACAAACCACCAGTTGTTGAGAGCAATGCTGAAGGACATGTGGCAGAGAAAGGGTTAAAATTCCAAGACAGTAGGATAAACATGCTTCTATGTACTGTATATATCTAACCCTGTGTGCTACCTGCAGTCCTTGATGACCTGATGGATGTCGTACTCAAAGGCAGCCAGTAAGATGCTGTCCAGGGGTTCTGGGACGCTCCTCAAGTCCAGAAATATGGTCATGCATGACTGCAGAGTACACACACATGCCCAGTAAATGCCAGGAATGTAGAAGCAGTAAGCATGAATGTGGAGGGCTGCTGAGTGTAGTGTACCTGTGCATAGAAATGTAACTCGGTGGGTTTGACTGTGGGATGGCAGAAGAGCAGCCGAGTGACCAGGAAGTGGTACCAGGTGCCCAATAGTTCCTTGTGCTCCAGCAGTGTGTCTTCATCTCCCACTAGAATCTAAAAGTTAAAAAAAAGGGAGGGGGAGGGTCAATAGTTTAAGACTTGAAAACTGTGAAATCACATAATAGAAAAAAAAAAGCATATCTTGGAAACACTGGCCTATGGATAACAATATAGCACATTCCAACACTTTAGACAAGAGCAGTAGGACCTCCTATACTATATACAGTCTACTGAGAGCACAGGATCACTGACCTTGCATATAAGCTCCAGGTGTCGGTTGCTGGCAAAAGAGTTGTCCTGGCAGCAGTGAGTCACCTCCTGGTGCCAGTGCCTCCACTTCACATCAAATTCTGACAGTGTCTGGGTGCCAGCAGGCTGAATCACAGAACGTTTGATTTGTCAGATATGTTACAAAAAGAACCCATTTATCTATTCTATCTATTTATCTTTATCTATCTATCATTCTCTGCATGAGAAAAATAGAGGATTAAATGCAGTTTTGTCATTAGCAGCACATTACAGGTGTCAGGTGTGATACTCTCTTGAGTCAATGCAAAGGAGTGTCACAGATTGTGTTCACTGATATCGACCAATGGTGTGGACACTGCTAGCTAATACATATGATTTCACACCACCACACTATAGGCTTGTCAAAATTGGGAACTTAAGAACAGGTTCTAGGGTTTAAACAAAGTGTGGTATGTACAGCAGCCAGCTTAGCTATAGTACATTAGGTTGAATTAAATTTAGAATCTAATGGAACTCAAAGATCCCTTAATGTAGCCCATACAGATTATTTAAAATATGTCTAAGCCATGAAATCAAATCCTGAAGATCAGCTAAGGACATCCCGATTACTAATATGGATCAAGAGAGTATGCATCAAATACAATTGTGCTGAATACATTAACATAAGCACCTCTGCAATCTAAACCAGTTCTGTGAAGCTTATAATGTCAACTCTGGCTGAGACTACAGTAACCTCTGTAGGAGGAGGAGCTGATTTGACTCTGGTCATTTTTGAGGTTGCAGTTTGAGGTGTTTGGCTGCTAAGTTGCATTATATTGCAACGTGTTTCTTGTGATACGTCAGCACTGATTAGCCAAGTAAAATTTACAGTGCACCTTTCCTAATTAAATATGACCCTGCTAAGGTAAACTGTACTGATACACATACTACTGAAAAATTAGCTTACATTGTAGAAGGGCATCTTGCTGAGCAGAGTGTCCATCAGCTTGTACATGTTTCTAGCAGCAGGCTGTAAAGTGGCCTGCTTCACCAGCATCTGTCTGGCTTCTTCCAACCTGCCCTGCAGCACATAACTCACCACCTGCACAGACCCAACAAAACACGTGACAATTGAGGTTTCACACTGCTCTTTATACATCTGTTTGGTGGTCCTGAGAAAGCACACTGCTGCTCAAAATTACAATCTGCACCGACCAAGGCCAAACTAAGTGTGTATATAGCAACTTTTAAAGACATGAATGTTGGCATGTTCTGCACTTACCACATCCCAGTAGTCACGGTGCTCAGCAGGGCTCTCACTCTGCAGCACCTCTCTGGCCTTCTCATCCACATCAGCCTTGTGTAATCTTACCCAGTCCAGAAGGTGGAGCAACAAGGAACCCGCTGAGGGCACACATATATACTTCTTTTTGTTTGGGTGTTTTATATTCTCAAAGTAAAGTTATAAAATGTATTCCAGAGAAAACGAGGAGGTTAACTAGAAGTGGAAAGTCAGACTCTGACCAGGAGCCGAGTCGATGAACAGCACTTCACACAGGTTCCAGATGAGCTCCACAGCCATCAGAATGGACAACTGCCACATCAAAATAGAGGCTATGGTTAGGTTATGTCTCTAAAAACAAAATAATCCAGAAGTCAAACTGAGTCAAAAATGAGTGGGCATTCCTCCATTAGCATCTTAGCATTAACAGTCCCTTCATTTACTGTAGTTAACAGGTAAATGTGTCAATTTTCAAATAAAATGTTTTATTCTCAGAAATTTTAACAGAATTGTCCTAATATATTAGCACCATACTATTTAACTAAAGGATGATTAACGTTAATACTGAATTAGTCTGCCGCTGCTCAGAAACTAATACATATTTGGGATCCCACAGGCACTTGAGTCTATTCTAAATAAAGATGTAATATCTCTGCCTACTGTGGCGCAGACACACAAACAGTAGCAGTGCATACCTGATTTCCATACTGTGTGGCCACTTTTGAATCTTTTGTAGAAACTGCATAAACATGAAAAATGTCAGTCTGATTATCCCAGTTTAATGACACTTAAGACTGAAATCTCATATCTTAATAACCTGACCTGCAACTTGCCGAAGCTCTTCCATAGAGGCTCGTATCACAGATCTGTAGTTTTTACTGATGCTGACAAACCTAAGGAGCAAGACAGAGAAAAATCATGATATGCAAAAATTTCATTTCTCAAACATTTATCGGAGTGCTTCATCTGGCTTATGTTACTAGGGTTTATGTTACTGGAAAGCCAGACAGTGACATGCACAAGATGAGGCCTTCATCAGGTGGTCTTACTGGGATTTTTTGTTCTTGCTGGGGAGGTCCTCTTTAGTGGTCTGCAGGCCAACAAAGATGTGATGTGACTCATTGAAAAGTTTGCGTAAAATAGGGGAATAGATGTCTTCATCTTTTCTGACCTCGTGGATGAAAGAACAGCTTGAGCCTTTAGGACCTGAAAACAGAACAGAGGGAAACAAGAGAGTAGCATGAGGCAAAATAAAGGGCAAGTGAGAGCACAGAAAGGTGCTTGTTTTAATATGCTCACATACCTGACTTTTTGTAAAGGGTCTCATACACAAGGATATCACCGGGACCCCAAGCAAATCCCAAATGCTTTCCATTACTGGCTGCAGGAATATTCTGCATTTAAAGGAGAGGTACGGGCTCATTACTCTCAAATTATTAAGTGGGGTGTGTGTGTGTGAACATGAGCACTCACGCATATTGGTAGGCTTAACAAGATGAATAAATTAACTTGAGCTGTGACTAAGACATTATTTTTGGTGACTTTCACATTCACGATTTTCTGCAGTCAAATCAAATTCCCTAATTCTTATTAAATTAAAATGTACGTAACTCTTGTAATACTAGGACTAGCCCTCTAGCATTCTATTGTGTTCTTAGTGCTTAATTTATTTCAATACATAGGGATTTTGCTATTATACTTAATATATCCCACAGCTGCTGAAATACGTAATCGGACTCTGAATAACGATAATCAACTCAGATTAGGTTAGTTAGGTTGCTGGGATACTGTTAGCTTGTTAGCAATGCTATTCGGGGGCAGTAAAGAAAATAAACTAAGCTACAACGATTACTTACAGTCAGTACCGGTGCAACGTCTACCTCCTCCATCAAAGAACAATGCTATTGATACGCTAAAATATAAAATGATTAAATATTCAGCTATTAACCACAGATGCACTGCATCTTACGCGCCTCAGTGATTTAGTGGAAAGACTGCACGGAGCATGTGTGATGACGTCGTAGAAGGGCTGCCCTTCCTCTTGCCTGTTTTTCCATCTGCTGTTTAGTTCATGATGTTTTTGTTTCCCAATCATAAAAGAAATCTAGAAATGCATAATTAATAAATATATGGACACGTATAAACAATAAGTCCAAAGCTCTGGGGAGCCAAGTTTAAATATAAGAAGGAAGTAATGCATTATCAAGGTATGGGAATTGTTCCTGTTATCAAAATACATATCAAATAATACATTTTCACTGAGATCTGTTAAGAATCAGAACTGTGTAAATACACACTTTCTAAATGTGAGCATAATTCATTAATGTAATTTAGTGCATCTTTATCATCAGACAGAAAAACAAGATGGCCGCTATACAGGATTAAAAGAAGAAATCCAAAAGTGAAAATACTGCATTTCCAGGCTGTGTTTTGCACTGTATGGGGATAATGACTGAATAATGTAACATTAATGAGAGGTCAGCAGGGTGATCAGGTACATGTTATGGGATAACTAGCCATCTAAATTTGATAACAAAAGGCAAAACAACGCTGTGCGCGTGCATGTGTTCCTGAATGTCTCTTTTACGCGCATTGGTACTCTCCCGCCCATGCCCAGACTGCTCTTTCATCCTCGTGACTAGCTGCAGCCATTCATTGTCCGCTGCAGTGGACGCGCAATGGCACGTGGCCGCGCACGTTATGTTAGAATATTTAAGCGGGAATGAGTACGTGCGCGTACACGAATTCTTTGTGTGGCAGTGGAGAGAAGCGCCAAAAGAGTGACCATGGCAGATGAAAAACCAAAGGTGAGTGTCTCCACATTGTCTCAAAATGCCAGTTTATTCCTCCCGATCTGCTCATAGAAGCTCATAGAAAAAGGGACATTTCCGTGTGTTCTGTTTTACCCTGTAAAAGCTAGGAGCTTAAATTCAGCTACCAGCTATACCTACTTTGATAGACCGGAAGGTTTGTGAACGCGCATCGACAGGCGCGCAGGTCGCTTTCTGCTTGACTACATTCAGCCAACCAGCTGATGTTACCTTAAGTGCATGCGTCACGTTTACTAATGTGTGTGTTTATTTGTGCAAGTAGGAGAAAGTTTGTGCACTTAGCAGTACTATGTAATTACGAGTATGTGCCACTGAAACTACAGTATTTTCTTTTTATCCTGTCATCCTTGTACTGATATCAGGCTGTGGTTTATAGATTTGATTTTCCAGACTTCAAAATAGAATGTAAACAAAGTTAAAATGTGCCTCAGTAAAGATTTTAAATGTTACTAAAAATAAATTTTATGGACAGTTATTTTATGAACATTTATATTCAAACCACCTGTTTGTTTTTTTTTAAACCAGTGAATTAACTATTTCATCCCATTGATCCAAAAACCTTGTGCACTATTATTTGCAACATTGTCAGCAACAGTAAGTTAACAACAGGGCGCTAAAGGAATAAAATCTTCCTTGGTTGAAACTGTGTACTTACTCATACTGCCCTACTTAACTTGAAGGCATGTTGGGAGGTGAAGAAAAGTAAACACCAAGCTCTTCAGTTCACTCTGGGCTTCCTATTTTCAATAATCAATTAATCATGTAGTTTATAAAATGTAAACACATGTGACTGTTGTTTATAATGATTTACAAGAACCCACACAGATGGCCCAAACCTACAGCACCTGAAAAAGACATTATTTGTATTTGTTTAGAGAAGCTAGTAGTTTTCACATAAAGCTGTAACCAACATGATATTTTTGGTTAATAAAATTGGCGGAACAAGGAAATAATTTCTTGTTGATCAGATAATTAATGAATAATCATTCCAGCTCTGGTTTCTTGTGTGTTTTAATCTCTGTCTCAATATCTCAGGAGGGAGTCAAGACAGAAAACAACGAACACATAAATCTGAAGGTAGCAGGTCAGGATGGATCTGTGGTGCAGTTTAAGATCAAAAGACACACACCGCTCATTAAACTCATGAAGGCCTACTGCGAGAGACAGGTGGGCACTTCACGATATCAGTACATGACAACCATCACTGATTGATTCATCATGATGTTATATGTTCATTTCTTAACTCAGTGGTTCCTCAAGATATTCCAGGGAGTTTAACTGGAGATGAACTGAGCTAGGAACTGCAAGACGGTTAATACAAAATGATATGACTACAGATATTTACTTAACGGAAACCACAGTTCATTATGTGGGAGATGTCAGGGTCTCCCTGATTCCCTGGAGTTGTATCCAACAGATATCACATACAGTACATCAGAAGACACTGCAGTAGGACAAAAGGCCAGCCCTAAAATAAAAGCCAGATGGTTCTCATTAAAACGTTATTCATTGTAGTCAGGTTTTCAGTCATCTTTTCCTGTAAGAGTTATTGTTGTTTATTGGCTGTGGTCCAACTCTGCTCTCTCTTACTCAGCTGCAGTTAGAGGAGCAATCGATGCGGTTTTTCCCTTAATAGCTTAAACAGCGTAGAGCTTTACCATTTCTGCCTTTACCTATCTGTGACTCCATGTGCTAATTACAAAAGATTTTTCCTTTTTTCTGTCAGCAATTATGAGGTAAATCTAAAGTTTTTACTTGCCAGGCTGCTTGCTATAATGAGATGCAGAAATATGTACTTTCTTTTTTATGACTCATTCTAACGTGTTAACATTGGGATGAATGCCAGCCCCATTCTTACAGTTGTACTCTAATCTTGATTACAACTGTGACTGCATGGCTACAGAAATACATTCTGAGGTTTAATGATACCTTTTATAGTATGAAATGTCTATGGGACACCTAAAAAGAGAGAATATCTAATAAAATGTGACCTCTGACATTTGTCAAAGACAAATGAGGGTTTAGCTCTCTGGAAAACTGAAAACCTAATCCCAGTACTGTCTCTCCTTGGACTGTCAGCAAGGCAGATGGGACATGTTTATCATGACCCTCATTTTTAAAACTACAGCAAGAACCAGATGTTTTCACTGCAAGACACACACACATGTTGTTTCTATGAAACTTCAACTAGCTTATATTAATCAAAGAAATAGATGCTTTAAACCAGCAGCGGTCTACTGTTCTGTATATTCTAAGCTTTTAGAAATAGTATTTCTATGAAAAACTCTACTGGTGCTGTATCTGATAGGTAAATATAAAGAGTACCACAAATCCCAACTAAAAACTGATTTCTTCAGCAAGTAGAGTTTTGTACTTTGTTTAATTATTTTGTCGCATTCATTATAAATCCAAACCTTTTTTATTTGTAGTGCCCAAAAGATTACTGTTAGTTTATCTGAATGTGTTTACACTCGTATACTTTTTCACCCATTCATTGTTGAGCTCCACTTAACTGTAGTAAAAGCAAACGCATAACTCAGTGGAGTTGTGCATTTTCCTCACATTGAATCTCAGTTTTGGTGCAGTAAATGATCAACATGGTTAGGACTATCTATGTTACTAATGATTTATGGTAAATGATTAGGATAATGAGTGTTTTTTGTAGATGAATTAGGCTTGATTTACTGCTAAAGGTTTTTCTGTTTGTCTCTCTAGGGATTGTCAATGAGGCAAATCAGGTTCAGATTTGATGGACAGCCAATAAACGAGACAGACACACCAGCACAGGTAAGTTGGAGACCTTAATGCAATGAGTTTAGCTGCTTAAAACAAGTTCCTGAGTAGAGCAGTGTGCTTAGAAAATGTTTATTCACAGAGCACCCTTTTCAGTCAGTTCAATCAGTTTTATTGGTATAGGGCTGATTCACAACAACAGTCATTTCAGGGCAATTTACAGAGTAAGTTCTAGACCTTACAATATTATAGAGGAAAACCCAAACAGATCCCCCTTGAGCAAACACTTGGCTACAGTAGAGGGGGAAAAATTTCCTTTAATGGAAGAAACCTCTGACAGACCCCAGCTCTCGGTGGACGGCCGTCTGCCTTGACTGGTTGGGGTGAGTGGATAGAGGAGAGAGAAAGAGAAGCAACAAGACACAACAATCAAACAGTGGGCAGGTTGATGTGGCCGATGACTGCTCATCGGAAACATAGAGCTCCGGAGCCAGAGATACCTGCTGAAAGGTACATGCCAAGACAGTGGCATGTAGTGGTGGCATATAAATGCATGCAGAGTGAGGAGAAGGGATGAAAAGATATGTACTCAGAGCATCATGGGGCCCCCCAGCAGCCTAGGCCTATAGCAGCATAACTAAGGGAAGGCTCAGGGTCACCTGATCCAGCCCTAACTATAAGCTTTATCAAAAAGGAACGTCTTAAGTCTAATCTTAACCTCTAGAGTCCTGAGCTTTGGAAACCCAAGCTGTGCGGTCCTCATATGAGGACGCAGGGACTCTAGAGGTTAAAGGTAGAGAGGGTGTCCGCCTCCCGAACTGAGACTGGGAGTTGGTTCCATAGGAGAGGAGCTTGATAGCTAAAGGCTCTGCCTCCCATTCTGCTTCTGTGGACTCTAGGAACCACAAGTAAACCTGCACTCTGAGAGCGAAGTGCTCTGTTAGGATGATAAGGCTCTATGAGGTCTTTAAGATACGACGGAGCCTTGTCATTAAGGGCTTTGTATGTTAGGAGAAGGATTTTAAATTCTATTCTGAATTTTACAGGGAGCCAGTGGAGAGAAGCTAATATAGGAAAAATATGATCTCTCTTGATTGTTCCTGTCAGTACTCTGGCTGCAGCAGTTTGGATTAACTTGGGGCTTTTTAGGGAATTATATTAATTAAAAGAAAATGTCAAAACAAATACAAGCTGAGCTACAAGATTAAGGTACAGCAGTGTCCAAGAATGAAAGCAGGCTCCATGGAAGAAGGCACAAGAAGACCTCACTTTTAAAAGAGAAACATAAAAAACTGACTGGAATTTGCTAAAATGCATATTAACAAGCTACAGTGCTTCTGAGAGAATATCCTGGCGACAGATGAAACAAAATGGGAACTTTTAGTAAGTCACATTTGTTCACAGAAGAAAAAAACAAAGATTTGATAGAAAGGAACACCGTCCTTATTGTGAAACATGGAGGTGGCTCAGTTAAGTTGCTTGGCTCTGTCTGACACAGGGTGCCTTGAATCTGTGCACACCACAATAAAATCAGAAGATTATTCTGGCGAGAAACATAGTGTCCAGTGTCAGAGAGCTCTGTGTCAGTAGCAGATCACGGCTCCTCCAACACCCAAAACATACATCTAAAAGCACCAAGACTGGATGAGAAGAAAGTGCTGGACTATTCTGAAGTGGCCTGCTGTGAGTCTTGAACTTAACCCAAATGAACATCTATGGAAAAGGCTGAAGCTTGTGATTGGAATCCATCAAACCTGAGAGAAGCGGTGCAGTTTGCTAAAGATGTCTCTCTAGAGGAGCTACAAAAAAGTGATTGCCTCAAAATGGTGTGCTACAAAATATTAGGGTTCAAATATTTTTGACCATACTGTTTTCATTTGTCAAAAATCAAAAGCAGCTTGTCTTGTCTGTTTTATTAAATATGGAGCAGAGAATACTACATGCCAAATATTTTTGTCAGTGTAAACTTGATGTTTTTAGAGGGTACCAACACTTTTAGCCATGTCTATGACAAAGCGAGCAAAAAGTAAAATTTACAAAAGATTGACTATATATACTTGTGGATGTCCATAATAAGCACTGGGTATTAGGAATGTCTGTAAGATTAAACATAGGGGACACCAAACTCAAGTTTAGTCGACCATTCTCAAATCTGCGTTGAATGTGATCTTGTAGAATGGTGCCAGTATATCAGAATCATGTATTTGTCAAGTACTCTATGTTTAAACACAAGGAATTTGACTCTGGTACAGAGGCTCTCAATGTGTTTGAGTCACCAAGGTCATGGGAAAACATGTGCATTTAAAATAGGAAAAAGAGAAGCAGTCTATTTATATACACATATACAGTACACTTACCGACTGTTATGTCTAATAGTTATATTTACGATTTATTGAACTGTGGGCTGTTGTACTGTTATGCAGTCATGGATTGACTGTTCATCAGGGTGATGGCCCGAGTGAAGAAACTGCCCTTGTGTCTGGTTGCTTTGATGTACAGTGACCTGTAGCACCATCCAGAGAGAAGCAGTTTGAACAGCTTGTGTCCAGGGTTTGAGGGGTCTGCAGAAATCTTATATGGCCTCCTCTTGACCCATGAGGTGTACAGGTCCTCCACGGAGGGCAGGATAGCTCTGATTATTTTTTTCTGCAGTCCTGACTGTTTGTTGGAGTCTGTTCCTGTCCTGTTTAGTTGCTGAACCAAACCAGACAGTTATTTGCTTTAATTCAAAGCAGGAATAGGCACAACTAGCATGTTATTGCATATTATAGCAGTCCTGTGCAAGTCTGTCTATGCACACTACAGTCATTAGAGCCAAACACAGTGTTTCATTTTGATCAAGATGGAGCCGTTTTGCCTATGCAAAACACAAATGTGAGTTTCTGTGGAGCATATGCTCAACCATGTATCGGTAACACCTTGACAAGACAAGTGCTGTGCCTTCTTGAATGAAGCTAGATTATTTTAGCTGATACGTACATACATGATGCAGATGAACTGGCATATAGCAAAGATATTATGTACGACTTCGGGCTTATAAAAAGTCATGATGTCACAGTGGCATACATGTTTAAAGACCTTTTTTTTTCTAACTTTAACAGTTGGAAATGGAAGATGAAGATACAATTGATGTGTTTCAGCAACAGACAGGAGGCCTGATTTAATCAGCCACGTGTCTCCATGTTCCTCGTCAACACAACCAACCTTCCTGGCCTGTGATACACAGCGGCTGCTGCTTTGCAACTTGTCTCATTGTCTCGACAGAATTCCATGCAGAAGAAGTTGTCATTTCTCTGCTGCACATAACTGCTGTATAGTATTTTCATTCTTGCCCCCGTTACATGTCTGTTTTTGTCCATGGTCCACATCCAGATCACCCTGAATTCAGGTTTTGTTTGTTCATGCTGTATTGTGGTAAATGTTAAGGACTCCCCCTCCCAGTTTGATGGGCTGATTCTAAGGTTGCAGACAGATGGGACTGGTGATAGAATGAGAATTAATAGAACTGACTGTACTGATCAGATGTTATTGGACTAGACTTGGTCACACATCTGTTCTTAAAGTGCATCATTTTGGAACTGACTATCACATAGTGAACAGTATATCCAGTTTGGGAATGGGGCTGGATTGTCACTTGGGTTCCATTATCTCCATATTTTTTTTTTTTTTTTTTTTTGATTTTATACATTTTTATATATACTAGTGGATGTGTAGACAAATGTTTTGATTAATTGTTTGACTAGGCTAAGCTTCAAATTTTGGGAAGCCTTAAGAAATGCTCAAGTAAATATCTGTCATGTCTATTAAGATGCCTGTTAAAATAAAGCTATTGTCCTTTTTCAAACTTTCATTACTTTTGTCTGGCTCTCCAGTGTTATTGTTTGCCCCTGCTCTGGGAATAAATACAACCCACATCAATTTAATTTGTAGAACAGTAACAGGAGTGCAAGTCCAGATAGTAATTTAGCTGCTATTTTTTTTTTTTTTTTTTTTTTAAGA